CACGGTCGGATGGATCCCCCACCGGACATGCCTCCGTACCACTCTTCCGGTGGCCCCTCCACATCCCGTTCCATGCTCGTCGTGTCTCGGCCGCGGCCTTTTGAACCTCTACGTCAACCTCCTTTATATTTTTCGTCGTCATCGTCAATGCCTTCGTCATCACATCGAGACGACCGTTCCGTTCCTCAACACGTTCCACCCCATAATGTCCCACGTCAATCGGCTTCGAGCCAATAACATCTGCGGTTGACCATCAAGTACGAGTCATTGTTGTTGGGCGCAATGAGTACGGTTTATGCTTCATTTAATTAAAAAAATTTATGGTTACCGTTATTATCTACTCGTTATTTATGAATTTAATTAATGTTTATTTTTTTGTAGGTTGTATCCTTCGATGTTTTTTCTCACTCGATCGTTAAGACATTCCAAGAGTACGTTCATTCTTTAGGATGGATGTGGAAAAAAATGAGTCCGGAGACAAAAGATTTTTACCGGAAAGAATTTAAGGTTCTAATTTCTAAATTTTATTTGATTAATTATATTATTTAATATTTATTTAAATTGTATAAAATAATATGAAAGTAAAGTTAGTAATGTATATTTTTTTTTGCCGTAAATCATTTAAGTGGGATGATGATTTGAACGAGAGCATAGTTAAGAAAGCATGAGAAAGTCTCGCACGGAAGCGATATTCGACTTCCTTTATCGTCTAAGGAAAAACCGAAGCCGCATATATCTCATAGGAAATATAGGATGCATGGACTACGGAATGGACGAAACCCGAGGCCGTTGCTCGATCCGAGATGGCGACATGGAACCGTAGGAGTGAGACCGGTGGAGTCGGAGCCGGTCCTTCTAGACATACGGGGGATCAATCAGCCATACGAGCACGCCATACGCATGGTAAAAAAAAAATTATTTAATTTATTTATAATTTTTGTAAAAAATAATACCCAAAATAATTAATTAAACATCCGACTATATTTAATACATTTACATTTATTTATATATGTTTTCAGCATAATGTGTTGGGTCATGAACCCGATCCTCACGAGGTTTTCTTGAAGACTCATCGGAGAAAGGTTAATGATCGGTTAGTCTTCGTCGATCAACGATCGAGGGTTATCGGAGTAAGTGATAAATTTGAAATATTATTTAATATATGTTAGTTAATAACGTTATTTGACAACCGTATTTGATGTGACGTGTTTCATAATTATACGAGAGATCGTACAAAGATTAATTAATGAGGAAGAGGTTGCTAGCCGACAGTTGAGAGGGACCGAAGCGACCGCACCCGACATTAATGACATCTTTCAAAGGGCCGTTGGTGGAGGAGATAGTAGGAGGAAGAGGATGTACGGACTCGGCTCACATGCGTCTCACTATTATTCAAATGTCAATGCGAGCTCATCTTCTCGCTACTTCCGGATTCAATGCAGTCGACGAGGCACGAGTTGAAGGAAATTCAAGAGCAAACATCCGCAAACACAACGCACATCCATAACTTAGAAGGTACCGTGAGCGACCTACGTGGTCAAGTGGCATCGTTGTTAAATACCACGATTGAGTTGAGAAACAATAGTCGAGGGTAGTTTACGATGATGTCACGGATGTAGCAGATGTTCATGCGGCATTTTGAGCGTGGGGGTAGTTCATCCGTCGTTCCCGAGACCGACAACGACTCGACCCGACCTCCGACCGATCCTAGACATTAACTTATTTTAGATTTTATGTTTTCTTGTATTAACTCGCAATCGATGTACTCGTTTTTTTTATTTAACAATAATGTAATTGTTTAGCGACGTTTTAATACATTTTGAATAATAAAAATTTACGTTTACGATATTTTACGAGATTTTTGCTACCTTAAAATTGTTACTTTGACCTCATTTTATTATTGTTTTAAATAAATTTATTTTTCAATTAGCAACGGTCTTAGAAATGATCCGGACCGTTACTAATCCGTCTCTATTTAGCAATGGTCCGGACCGTTGCTAATCCGTCGCTATTTAGCAACGGTCATACCAAGGGTTTACTGAACCGTCGCTAATGTCCTAACTCGTTTACATCGATATTTAGCGACGGAATAACAACGTTTTAGACCGTCGCTAATTTCGCAATGGTCTAAACCGTCGCTAAAAAACACCGATGAGGTTTTTAACGACGGTTACTTGACCGTCGCAAAACCGTTGCTAAAACGTTTTAGCAACGGTTTTTTTTTATTTAGCGACGATTTTGCCCGTCACTAAATCCCATTTATCTAGTAGTGACATTAACATAAAAGTCATTTGAAGACTAACTCACTTATCGCAAGATCAACAATTTCCTAGTAATATTTTAGATTTATTTTGATTAGTCTTACTAGTTCGTGATTTTAAGGCTAGATAATTTTTGAATTAATTGCCATGTTATATTTTGGTAGGCGAAGGGAGGGTTGGTGGTGGTGGTAGTGATGGCGACAAATTAGTAACCATTCAAGAGAACTAAATGCTAGTGATTTAGAATGAACTATATTGAGGAAAAACTAACCCTAATTAAGAATATAATTATTTACATAGTTAAGTTCACTCATTCAGTTGAATTATTTGCATCGGCTTGTTCCTCTTTAATCCATGTGAAACACCTAATTCATACAATATTTTACGATGCCATTAAATTCTTTAGGTTTAAAATTTAATGGATTGTTTATTTCTTTATTATAATCCAAGAGTTTAATTGACATTTTTTTTTTATCCATACCAATATTTTAGATTTTTTTTCTTCACATATTCTCATTTCATATTTATTGGAAATATGGCTACTTCGTTCGAGACAGAGTAACAAGTTTTTTCTCCCAACAAATTCGATTCTAGAATTTAAACTCTACATGTCGGTAAAAAATTTATTTGAAAGCTAGCTCGTTTATCATTGGTCAAACAACTTATTGGTAGTATTTTAGACTTATTTTGATTAGTCTTACTATTCCGTGAATTTAAGGTGGGATAATTCTTCAATTAATTGTCATACTATATTTGGGTAAGGGCTGACGGATTAGTAACCATTTAAGAGAATTAAATGCTAGTGATTGGGAATGAACCGTAATGACGAAAAACTAACCCTAATTGAGAAATTAATCATTTACATAGTTAAGTTCATCTCATTCAGTTGAATTATTGATACATTTCCTTTGCGTTAGTTTGTTCCTCTTTAATCCCTCTCGAAATCTAATTCATCCAAAAATTTTGTGCCCAATAAATGATTTTGGATTTTAAAAGTAGAGAAGGATAAGGTTTTTTTTTCGGCATAAAAAAACTTAATAAATGGCTTTTTGACATTAAAACCTAAAAAACTAATATAGATTATTACTTTAGAAAAAGGTTCTTATGGTGAGCAAAAAAAGGATTAAAAAATTAGAGATTAATTGCACTTGAAAATCGTATGTGGGACCGGCCACGAGATATAATGAAAGAGTTTTCTATTCATAAAGTAATATTTGACTTAGAGTATCTTCAATGTTGCTCTCTACTTTTAGCTAGTATTTTTAATGTAAATAAAGAACATCATTAATTATATAGATTAAAGATCAATTTAACTCTTTATTTTGACAAAATCTATAAAACCCAAAGAGACTATTGGTAAAGAGGTCGAGTGACATAAGAAATAATAATTTTTATTAATGAAATATAAGATAAAGAGTCATTTGGATTCTCTAGTATTGGAGAACCAAAGACACTCTGTATCTCAATTTTAAAGATAGAAATTGTGATAAAGAGAACATTAGAGATAGAATTTGGGTCAAACTTCTTTATTATAAAGAAAAATTTTAATATAAATAGAGAATTGGAGATGCTCTTAGTAGCTAAGCAAACTACAATTCTAAACCTACACAATAAAGATAAATAGAAAAAGGGCGTGTTTGGTATTCTGATTATTAGATATTTATTTATTAATATAAATTTTTTATTTTAATTTGTATTTAAAACTAATATATTGAAATTAATCAATAATAAATTTAATTTTATAAATTATTATTATTGTGTAAAATAATATTTATACCAACTAATTACATAGCGTATATAACATATTAATTTAGTTTGGGTACTAAGTTGAAGACACCGAAAAACATTTTAAATTTTTTATATATATATATATATATATATATTCTCTCAAAACGTTTTGTGTAGCTTAATAAAAACAAAGGTATATTAAACAACAACTTAATATATATAAAAAAGGGGCATTTAAGGGGAAAAAAAGTTGACAACGCCAAAATCTCTAACATATCAAATTCTCTTCATCTTAGAAGGGAATTGAATACCAAAACTTTCAAGCAATTTTTTTTTTTTTTTTTAATTTGAGATTGGCTTTGGTTTACCAAATACAAAAATACTTCACGTCTCAAATGAGTTTCGAAGGATATGTCAAACATCCATATGCCAAATCCCGCTGAAAAAATAACGAAAGTTGCTGCATATATTATTGATTTAATCACATAAAACGGTTCTCTATTATTGGCATTTTCTTAATGTGACTTTTTTTTAAATTTTTTTTTAATGTAGTCCCTTTGATATTTTTTCGATCAATTTTTTTTATCCAAACTGACAGTTAAAATAAAATAATTCACATGGTATATGACATATCATATTTTTTTATTTTTTATTTTTTTACCACGTATCAATTTTATTTTTTCTCTCTTATTTTTTCTCCTCCCCCCTCCCTCTCTCTCTCTCTCTCTCTCTCTCTCTCTCTCTCTCTCTCTCTCTCTCTCTCTGTTTCGATTAACCCAGAACAATTATGCCTAACCTTGTTGCTTTGGCGTATTTTCATATCCAACGCAGTTAAAAAAGCCCTGCGTGAACCAGGCACTATGGCCATACAGTAGTGCTTGGAAGAAATTGTGACTCAAAATGACTGTAACAGAGAAGATAATACATCACTGATGAAGTGAAATTCTATTTCTAAGACAGACATAGATTCTGATGATAGAACCCTCAAGTGGTTTTGATTGCAATATTTGCCTAGACTCTGTGCAGGATCCAGTGGTCACCTTTACTTCTGGCACTGCATATACAAATGGCTTCATTCCCAGAGCGTCTCTGCTGAAAACTAGGATCAGCAGCCACAATAGCAATGTCCTGTATGTAAAGCCGAAGTTTCCCAGTCAACAATTGTTCCACTCTTTGGCCGGAGCCAAACCACAAAACCCTCTAAGAATAAAGCCCCCAATCTCGGTATAAGCATTCCACGAAGACTTCCTGGTCTTGCTTGTGGATTGACTCACCAATATCACCCATTGCCACAAAATAGTCTATGCCCAACACAACAAATTCATCATCAAGATATATATACACATAGACTGAATCTGAAGGATACAAACAATAACAAGTAATTTGTATCCTTTATTTATTACTTGTTATGGTTTGTATCTGTATATATTACTTGTTATCGTTTGTATCCTTCAGATTCAGTCTTCATATATATATATATATATATATATATATATATCACAAGTAGATATATACAACTTGTTATTGTTTATACGAAGACTGAACCTAAAAGATTCAAACAACAAGTAGTATTAAGTCTTCAGATAAGCAATGACAAAACCAATAAAAAAAAACTTAATTATCCTAACAGCATTCAGAAAAACTGATGACCTCCCTTCCCAGCCGTTGATTTCGTGAAAATTCGCTCGGAAAGCATTATTTTCAAACTTGTAATTTCTCTTTACCAAAAAAAAAAAAAAAAAGACAACGTACTGTACTGTCTACTAGATTCACTCCTCGGTCTCACGCGATCGTTTAGAGTTTAGACAATTGCTTGGCAACAAAATCTCTGACCTGTGAGAATAAATTTGAGGAATCGGACAGATCCGGAAAGGCATAAAATGCATGGAACATGTTTGGATACTCAATTAAGCTAACATCTTTCCCGGATCTCTTTAACCAGCGGTAGTACTTCATTTGCCAATCTTTCAATGGATCAAACCCCCAACAAATATGATGGTATTCGGAAAATCCAAACCCGAAATATCCTCTGCGTTCGGTCCACTCACATTTGCAGCATGATGATCCCGATTCGACCCATTGGGTAAAAACACTTTCCAACACCAATCAGTCCGATCCAATGACACAAATGGGCATCCTGCTAACTGAATCTCGGACCCTGTTCTCTCTTGCCCACCAAAAAACGGTTGTATCGATACCAACCCGATAATGTTAAGAACCCGAAACTTGGACCTACAAGCCCGAACTGTTACATTATGAGCCAGATTCGCCCCAGAGCTATCTCCCACCAAAAAACACTTGGACAAATCAGCATTAGGTGGCAATAGCCCATTGGCTCGATTATCGTCGAGGAACCAGAGGACGTCAAATCCATCGTCGTATTGAGAAGGGTAACGGTGTTCAGGAGCAAGACGGTAATTGACAGATATGACAATAGCATGAACTTTACGTGCAAACCTGCGACAAACAACATCGTATCCACTTGATGCAGCACTTAAAAAGGAAAACCCCCCTCCATGAAAAAAAACAACACGGGCAGAGAAGAGTCACCACCACCACCGTTGACCCCACTATTTGTGGGGGTGTAAAGGCGGAACCAGAGGTTGCAGGAAGGGTCCATGGGGATATCAGAGGAAAAGACAGAGTAGATGGACATATTAGGGAAAGGAGGGAGCTTGAAATCAAAGAAGTTAAGGAGGCGTCTGTTGAAGGTGCCATTGGCACGACGTGTCACGTCTGATATGATTGAGATCATCAAAATGGCTAGTCGTGTTCTCCATGGAAGGGGTGGTTTTGATGGGAGCAGCGTTTCAATTATGTCCATATTTTGAAAAATAGAGAAGGACAAAGAGTATTATTGGATGAAGAAGAAAGGGATTGTTATTGACATGAAGGTTTTAGTGAATGTTATACATACATACATACATACATATATATATATATATATATATATATATATATATATAGTGGCTGGTTAGTTCATTATGAATTAAAAAAGAAGCTCAAACTTGAAAGGGGGCATGAACTTGGAAATTGAATCAGACATTCAGACTAATTAGGATGCAAATCATCACTATTATGTAACGCGTGATCGTTCAAGAAGATGTGAATCTCCTTCTCAACGCCGTCCAAAGATGGCTAAATCCACTACAATATTTAAGACAAGGAAACTTCAGCGTATACTTCATGGTCAATTAGTTGGATTCCCATCATGGGCAAAGCCTAGTTGCTATAGACAATAAACGTACAGTGGCCTTCCTCCATTCTCCGATGTCTCATTTCCACATTGGAAAAGGGAGATACTTGAAGAAGATGTAGATATGCTACTATTGGGCAGCTGAAAGCTAAATTATATTACATCTCCTTAAACCCGTTTCTAAAGATAGATGGGATCGTCCTTAGTGCATTAATTAATGATCTATAATGGGCAGTCAATAATGGCGATTTCAATGACAGAAACATTTCAGCTGACTTAATAATTTAGGTAAACCAGTAAACACTCACAGAATGTAAACTTTCAAACTAGATATGACCCGCCAAGTGGATCAAAACTACAACTGGACAACTAGTGTTAATTTATGTCTCGCCTATTCGTCATGCATCACTTAACATTTATTGCATCGATCAATTCAAGAAGTACAAAATAACTAATAAGATACACTAAAAACTAACAGATGGATATTTAGGGGCAGTGATTCTTAAATTATGATTGTAAATGAGATAACTTCGAGCTTATACTGATATTGCGGTAGTTTTAGCGTAATGAATATCAATTTAATAGCAAATATTTATAAAACAAGTTTTTTTTTTTGGTGAAAGATTTTTCTATAGTTAAGTTAGTTTCAAGGGATATGTATATAACTTGAATAGGTTGTAAAAAGATCAGCTTTTGCATGTAAGTGATAATGGATAACATAATTGTTTTGATTTTAGAATATAGAATCCGTAATTTTTAACTTAGTAGCTTTTATATTAGAAAAAGTGTGATCAATTTGCATGGAGTGGGGATAGAATTGTTCTTTTTTCTATACTCAATAGTCTCCAATATTTAATTTAGGGTTTGTGATAGTTTTTAGTGATAGTCATTGTTTGACGGCTTGTGTTTGTCATAATTAATGATGAAATGATAATGATATATAGTTCAAGAAGCCACTTCTTTTTTATAGAGGTGTGGTCTAGCGTCGACTCTGTTGGTGTTTAACTCTTTTGCCTTTATAAATTATTTGATGTACTCCTAACAATTTACCTTTCTATTTCTTTTTTTCAAAAAATAACAATTCTCGGTGTGTGGCCAATGTCTTAGTGTTAAAAACAATATTTCTTCTAATTGCGAAGGTTTGGAGGGCCATTAATTAGAGTAAGGTGATTAACATATCTTTCCTCTTGTATAGTGATAAATACCTTTGCCCAGGAGACATTCAGAGAAGTTGTTTGGAGTGCGTGAAAGACCAGAAAACTATGCATGGACCTTTTGGGTTTCTCTTTGGATTGGAGTAGGCTTTGTAGAGACAACATTTTTTTCACTTTCTCTATTAGTTTTTGAAAGCATAGGTTTACTTGTCGGGTGGCTATCACCTCTTCCATCTAAATATGACTTTCCACCACTTTCTTTATTTAATAAAGATTCCTATTAGAAAGAGTATAAATCTTCTTTCACAAATTAACATCATTGACTCAGCTACAAGTTTCTAACAAGCCATCGACTCTTAACATCTCTTCATGGAAGCAGGAGAGGTAAGCTTGCGTACTCTCTCTTTTTTGTTAGGATACTATGAACAAGCTACTAGAGCTTATTTCGATGGGGATACTAGTAGAGAAATGGGCTATCAGTTTAGAGCACAAATCTTCAAAGTTAAAAATCGACTTGGGGTCTAAGTTATTATCCCTTCCTCACCACCTTTTGGAAGGTGGCAGGAATTATCTTCCATATGGCGCCTATACTTCATATGACTAACTCAAGGTTTTCTCCAATATTTTGTACATTCTCTTACGGTTATGTCGTACCATCATACACATTTAGGTTTATCTTTCATTTGTCTATATTGATTTCACGAGTTTTGTCCAACTATAATGGCTACTGATGGCTGGTCAAGATAATTCTGTTTGAAGTAAAGTTTTAGTTGGATGATCTTTAAGTAGAAAATGGCTACATTTGTCATGATTACAATCATAAATGTATATGAAATATAAATATAGATCATGACAAATAGTTGAAGAAACAAGCTCACCTCAATTATGTCAAGGGTCTATGTATGCAAGAAGACCTTAAAATGGTTAACATGATTCAAACATTTTCAAATCATAAAGACAATGATCCAACCCATATTGTTTGAATCAATTCAGCTCATTGAAGAATAAAGGGCCAATTAGCCTTGATTATATGTGTTTGGATCTTGACTTGTTATTTCCTATTATTTTGAACCTTAGTAATTTGAACTTGATTTATTTTTTGTATGAATTCAACATGCTAAAATTAGGGTTTTATTTTTTTGAAGTGTGAGTTTTATTGTCTCTTGATTAGAATAAGGAGTTACAAGGCTGAACTATTTAAAGCCACAATCATGGTTTAGTTGTCAAGTAATAGGGTCATTACAATTTGTGTTAATTCAGAATTGAATGTTGTGTCTTAGCCTTTGTTTTATATAAACAAGACTGATTCTCTTTGTAAAAACGATTTGATGAATATAAAAATATTTGAGCTTTTTGTGAGAGTTTTGTTTAAAATTTTTACATTAACTTTGAAACTTATCAAACTATTTTAGTTTGTGGCGTTTAATACCTAAAATCTTTGTTTTTCTTTTTAACTTATCAAACTTGTAAGTTTGTGGCGTTATGGAGGATTTAAAGTGTTGTTCTAATTATTTTATCATCTTTCCATTGATAAAGAGATTGGAATAGTTTGTTTCTTACTTTCAAACTTGAATGATCCGGGTTTGTTTCGATTGTGGAGGGTATTAATTTACATTTCATATGTATTATAATTATTTAGCTATTGGAGTGCATGGTTGCTAAATTGATGATTTCCATCATGATGGGTACAAATTGGTATTAAAACCAAGAGTTTTAAGCTCTCTATACTCTTGGAATCGGAGAAACGAACATAAGTCTTGTGGTGATCACAAAAAGATGTAGGAAGTGAGATTTGAACCTTGAACTTTTTGTTTAAACTTTCTGTTAGAAATCCAAAACTCTTATCATTGAGCCACTCTTTATGGTTTACTCTCTATATTTTATATTGAATAAAGTGGTCTAGGAATATCATAAAGAAGAGATTTTTAATCCCAAAAACCTCTCATTTGTGAGAAAATGGCACAACCAGTCCACCACCAACCGAATTAATTTTTGCATGTGTTTTTCACTCTATTTAAGATCATCAAGAATTTGTTGTATTCATCAAAGTTTTAAGTGTGTTTTAATCATGCACTAGCAATATTTTGTAGAAAGTAATTTCTACATAAGCGAGTGGTTTCATTATTTCTATATAACTGAGCAGAAAATCACTAACAAAGTTTGCCATTTTAACTTGATAGCAATCATAAGTTTTGAAGATGAAAATTCTCAATTTATCATCATCGAGCCGAAACATGAACGAAGATATAGCTTATCGTTTTTAATTTTTGAATTTTAAAAAACCAGTACGTGAATTGTGGATCAGGGGTGAAACACCCCATACCGTCCTTCGAGGGTGGTTGTGATCTAATGCTTAGCCAATGAATGGCTTTCATTCCCTGATGAAAAAATAAAAATAAAAATAAAAATAGTTTTTTTTTTTGTTGAATTTTGAATATTTTAATTATAAAATGTGTTTTTGATGAAAAAAAAGAAGAGAAAATATTATATAATATTTTATAATTTTTAACAAATCTATTTTTTTCCTTGTATTTTGAAAAACATTGTGCAATGCTTTTAAATAGACATTTTTTTAAATTCCTAAAAAGAAATTCTGGAAACCAGGCCAGAACATATCGAAGCAGGACCAATCGTAGGCCTAAAGGAAAGCTCGGCCCGGCCCATGAGCAAGTGGAATCCCACTCCAGTTTTCCCTAGAAACAAGCACGCACTCTCCCCTTTCCCTTCCAACGCTACTCCTCTTTCTTCCTCGATCCACTACAGGGAAAAAAATCTGAAGACTCAAAGCATTTGAAAATCAAAGCAAGAAAATGGCTTTGAAATTTGAAGAAACAAATTTGATACATTCACTACTGAGATCAGATCAAAGACCAATTGATGAAATCGCCACTGAATTTATCAACAAAATCAATCGCTGTCGCTCTTCCACGCTTTCCGCTTCTCTCTTACTCCTCTTACAGGCAAGCGAAACTTATTCTCTCACTCTCTCTTGCTTTTACTGAATTTGTTAATTTTGCTAGGGTTTAAGTGCTCCCAATTTGGATATAATTAATCGTTAAGGATTGTTTTTTTTTTTTTCCGTTAAATGTGTTTAGTAGTAGAAGTATGGAATTTATGAGAACATGATTACGTGTGTACTTTGTATTGGCTGATGATGAATTGGAGGTTTATGTGAAGTGCAGGATAAGAAGATGCTCAAGTCTACTGAACGGTTAATTGCGTTTGCGATTCTTTATCTATCTTATTCATCTCAACCATCTGCTGCGAATCCGTTTATAGCTTTCTTTATAAATGTAAGCAGTGCAATTCTAGTTTTCTGGAGTTACGGAAAGATTATTATTATAAAATGTGAATATTAGTTAATGCAGATGAATGCTATGTTTGGGAAAAGGAAAAGTGAGGTTTATGAGTTTTATTGTTGGGATTTTACAGGCTGCTTGTGATGAGAAAGCGGAAAAATACGAGAGGGGGTTTGTTCTTCAGTTGTTAGCCTCTGGAGGCTCTGGCGGTAGCAAAGAGGTTCTAAACTTTCTTTATTGAAGTTGTTGATATTATATGATTTTTTGCAGTAGTTCAGTTAGATGTGAAGGAATATCAATTTAGAAGTATTTTATATTATATATCCGTCTGAAAATAGTGTGTTGTTAGGGATAGGTAGTGGCAAATTTTAACTTCTACTATCCTAATACGTGGATCTCTTAGTTTGGTGAACAGTATAGTAAATCTTGTATTCAACTTTTACCATCATTGAAAGTATTGGGGAGCTGGTTTTGTAACTTTAATCAGATTACTCGTTTCTCTTTGTCTGTGTTGTCATTTTATTTTCTCGTGCATTTCTACCATTTTTATTTCCAACTGTTTCTCTTCTCTCTTTCAGTTTCTTAAACAGTCTGCTGCAAATTACATCAAAGTTTTTGATCCTTCAGTCCATGTAAGTTCCTTCTATATCTCAAATCATACTTTTGACGAGGAATCATACTAAGCTTGTGCATATTATCCATCTCACCATATTGGAGATATGGTTCTGCGAAACAAGCTGTTAATTTGAGTACTTGGAACATTTCTTCTTTCCATTTCATTGATAAACTTATCTGCTTATTGTCAGGCTTTCCCACCACGCGAACAGTTGCAGCATCAATATAGTGATAAAGTCCATCCTGAAGCATATAATTGCTTATTTCAAAACATTTCGCTGAAAAATATAGTTCCAGACCCAGATGTACCCCATGGTTGTGATGCAAATTCACAAGAGTATGTCCCCTGGAATTGAAGGAACAATTCCAAAGATGTGATGTTTGCCTTTTGTATAAGAACTATTTTCTGCTTTCAATTCGAGCCTGGTTCGATTTTCATATTCACTCCATTTTGAGAGTGGTTCCTTTGTAGGTTTGATTTGCAACCTGGAGCGAAACCTAAACTTGGATCGGGAGATAGAGATGAGGCTCTAACTGGATTGTTGTCAAACTTGTCACCGGATGGAATAGGTCCTCAATGGATCAGGCCTCGACCACCAAGGTTGCCAATACAGGATGGTGAAGTAAGGACATTTTATGTTCAAATGTTGGACTGCTTAGTGAATTTGCTCTTTTTCCTTACATTTTCCAAACTTGTTTGCAGCTAGTGTGGCTCAACCCCGATAACAATCATGAGCTTGTGTGGGATCATGGTATGTGTGCCGATACTAGCAGGGGAGCGGCAGTTAGGGATTTGATAGCAAAAGCCTTGAAGGGACCTCTTGCACCCGTTCAACAAGAGGTTCCACTACTGTTTTATGTTTCAATAGATTAAATACAGATACTGTTTATAAAGCAACTTCTCAAGTAGTTTTGATTACAAGTTTTACTTGGATTTCAGAAAGGGCTTTTGGAATCTTAAGAAATGTGAAATTCTAGCTCATAAAGAATACATGGTAATCTTACAAAGTGATTGTGCAAATGTTTGTTAACCATGTCTATTTGACTACACTACATTACCCTACTATTTTCAAATAGCTTGCTTATTTGCAGCCTTCTTTTTAACTATGTAGTTTCCATCTTTTAACCTCTTCCCTACTGTCAAACGTCCTAGCTATCTTATGCCAAGGTCTATTTTTTTTTTTCTATTCAGATTTTTTTTTATTAATTTTTTTCCTTAATGTTACTTGTATCAAACTGCTTATGTGTTGTTGCACGTGTTTGTACTAAAAATATTAGTTGGTGTAGCAAGTTATATATAATTGTTTCTGTGTTTTGAGTCGCAGTGGGATCCTGAATTATTCAAAACTGCTATCCTCAGTTATTGAAATGAATGAACATTGTTCTGATTAATGCTAAGTGCTTCAGATTTAAATAGTAGTTGGTGTATTAATGTCTCAGGCTGAAAAGACCATCTAGTTATAAGTTTTTTTATTGACTCAGTAATTGCTATATATAGATAGATTGCCTTGATGAATTGTTCAAGTTCATATTAATTTTGTTTGCATGCCCAAAACATCTTTTTGTCTGGTTGTTGTATATATGGTATTGAAAGGAAGTAATGACTTTAAACTCTCTCTCTTCCAGCAAGTCTTGGTGGAATTGACTAATGACCCAAAGCTTGTATATCACTGTGGACTGGCACCAAGGAAGTTACCTGTATGTCATAAGAAACTTCCATTTTTTGTTCTTACTATGAGCTATACTGCTTGAAATTCAAAGGCATTTTCCATCTTGCCATCAGGAATTGGTGGAGAACAATCCCCTCATTGCCGTTGAAGTTCTTACAAAGTTGATAAATTCTCCTGAAATTGCAGAGTATGTGTTTTGTGCATTGGATTGTTATCCTTTTATTTTTATTTTCTAAATGTGTGTGATATTGGTTTGATGTTTGTTTATATTTGTGGGTTCAGTTACTTTACAGTACTTGTCAATATGGACATGAGTCTGCATTCAATGGAAGTCGTGAACAGGCTTACAACAGCAGTTGAACTTCCAAAGGAATTCGTTCGGATGTACATAACTAATTGTATTTCATCTTGTGAAAATATCAAGGTACAATGACCATGCAAATTTATTGCATTGATGATTTCACAATACTAGTGGAACAAAATAATGTTCTGCTTCATGAACCACTTAATAATAGTGGGTACCATAATGAAGATGTTCGATGAATTTCCACAGAGGATGTCATGGAGAAAATGAAATTCAAGCATTCATTTGCATGGTTCTATGGTTGGACAAGATTGTACTATCTTGGTTATTTGTATGTGCACACAGACACACACATACAAAATGTGTAGTTGTGACTTTGGTATTTCTTAAACACATTACAATTCCTCATGCAAGTTTTTTCTCGAATACCATGAAATTGCATCATTTTCCTGGATTAATAGGTGTATGAAATCAGTTAAATTTAGCTACTGATGTCATAATCCAACAAGTTATTAACATAAGATTTTAACCTTTCTCATTTTCCAGGATAAATACATGCAGAATCGACTTGTCAGACTTGTTTGTGTTTTCCTGCAGAGTTTGATCCGAAACAGAATTATTGATGGTAAGTATGCCTTTCTACTTATGATTGAACTGTTATAGAGGCCATTTGACGTGAGTGCATATGCAGATGATATGCCATGTTCTTTGCATAGCCTGTATACTCATACATGAGGTTTCAGCAATGAGAAAAAATGAAAGAATATAAGCAAGCAGACTACATTATTTACCTGACATAAATAAAATAAAAAACATTTTAGAAGTTCGTTTGCAGAAAACTAATCAAAAGGAAGAAATTCTTCTCCATGTCATGTGATAGATGAGAATAAGCCTACGGGTGTTGGGACTGACAATGGAATGGGAAGTTACTGCCTGGGGAGCCGGATTCGGCGCTTGCCTTTTAAGTGTCTTAAGCTTACAGAATAATAAACTACATAGAAAAGGAAAAAAAAAAAAAAAAAACTATACTGGCTTTCATTGCATGGTGTGCATTTTTTCATGTGTTCTTTTTGCAACAATTCTGTTGATTTTGATCTATGGTTGTGGCGTTGCAGTTAAGGATCTTTTCATTGAAGTCCAAGCATTTTGCATTGAGTTTTCAAGAATTAGAGAAGCAGCTGGTTTATTTAGACTTCTGAAGACCTTGGAATGAATGGTTCATTTCTGTTCCTTGTGCGGCACACTTATTGTCCTTTAGTTTACAGTTAGATTTTCATTTCCCCTTTGTAGATAATGAATCCGATTCTTCCTTTGCACGAAACTTTTCTTTGTAACTGGGTTATCTGTGTGGCTTCTGATTTATAAGGAATGAATTGAGATTTTGTTTGGATAAAGTTTCACTTGTCAACAGAAAGCACATAGGAGGAAGAGGAAAGATTTGAAGAGGGAAAGCAATTTATTTAATTTTCCTTGTTCATTTTCTCATGAGTTTGTACAAAATGTTTAGAGTTTCTCATGTGAACTGTTTTGGGAAGATTTGGTGGTTCCAGAGCTGGCATTTTGAATCGCACGGTTCTTTCTCCTTACACTAGAGGAAAATGAATGATATACTTCTTTTCTTCTTTCTTTACTGATCGGAAATCAACCTGAAAACTTCTAATGAATTTGAGCTATGCTCCATAATGACAAGCTGACTAATTATAGTGCCGGAGGCTCAGCTAACTTAATTGTAGCTGGAGCACTGTACCTGAGGGATGTAGACCTTTTTTCAACTTGAGTTTTTGATGGATGATCATGTTGAGAATCAAGTCATGTGATTTGCCTGTAGTAAAGAACAGGAACAATAAGGGTCTGTTTGGGCAAGCTGTGGCTTTTGTTATTATTGTGACTGCAGGTGTGGCTGTTATAATTGTAAAAAAAAAAAAAAAATGCTTTTAGGTTAAATGAGATTCAAATCCCAAACGGTTTTTAGAATTTTATTAAATATGTTTTTTAGGAAAAAAGGCCCCAAAATAAAAAAATAAAATAAAAAATTCAGGGTGCAGTGCAGCTACTGGTTTCGGTGCTTGGTTTCTAAGGAGGTAGCTCAGCTCGGCATCATTTGCAAACAACAAAAGCTTCCACATTGGTGTATAAAGGAAAATCTGCAACCCACCGCACAATTGCCAATATGGGTTCAAATGTAGCTACCGGAAAGCCATTTTCAAGATTTATCAACGCCCTTGTTCCATCAATTTCATCACCTCTCACCGTCCAAACCATGCCACCGAGAAGACAAGGGTTAAATTTGCCAAAGCTACGTCTATGTCCCAACCAAAAGTAAAATCTTCTGTTATATACTTTTCGCTTAAAATTGTATCAAATGTCTTCTTAACTCTACATACACAAAATGTTATCTATTCTTTTCATGAAAAAGAAAAATAGAAGGCGTTTTCTTTTCTATAGGTGGTGTCAGTAGTCATTACACCTTGCATTTCCGGCTAATTGAGACACCTTCACAAAACTTGGCATTGATAAATATAGCGTCCCTTAAGAAATTGGCAATGGCATTACAATTCAGCCCCTTAACTAAAGAATTTCAAATCACCAACTTAAACCATTAATCAGAAGTCGCCATCAGAGGGAGTACCACATGATCCACATCCCTTCCTCATCAAAGATGTGTATTATGGTGCATCAGACCGTTTAAAATAGGTGCATCATAAAGGAGTTTCACTGTTTAAGTAAATTATAACCTAGCTAGTAGTTTATAGCTGGTACTAGACAGGATAGACGACTACCCATCAAGTGATACGAATCCAATATCTGATTCCTCTAATCATCAAGAAGAAAAGTAAAACAATTAGGCGGTCTATAGCCATAGCTAGCAGTCTCACAAAATCTTAATTGACACGTAGCCCAAATACATTTTCTTGTTTTCTCCCATTATTATATAGATTGACCAGTACACCAACAGTAAGCTTAACCTACGCAAAATAGCTCAACTTCATCAAGAAAAAACCTTAGCTAGCTAGATGGCAACAAAAACTCTCAAGTTCATCAAGCTCCAATGGCCTTACATCGTCCTCCTTTCCCAGTTCCCTGTAACACCCTCCATTTCATTCTCTTTTATTTTCTTTCAGTCTTTGAATGCTCTAAAACTCTAACGTTCTTATATTTTTATATATGTTCACTGACAAGGGTTATTTATTTATTATTTCCTTTTTTTGTACATGCAGTTGTGATCTGTGAGCACCCTTTCATCAAGGATGGAGCCTGAAAGCTTCCTACTTACTTTTGGACTAATGATGCTTCTCATGTAAGGGTGGATTTACCTGGTGTCAGCCAGGGAACAGTGAGGGTATGGGGAGAGAACAAAACAGTCTACTTTGAAGGAGAGGATGCCAAGAACGATGAAGAGTTTGATAAAGAAAGTCCAAGGAAGTTCAAGGGCAACATTCCTCTGGTTGACAAGCTTGAGTACAAGATTGATGAGATGAAGTACGTTGTTAAAGATGGTGTCTTGAAAGTTAGGTCTCCGATTAAAGAAAATTAATCTGGGTGACTAATTTATTTCCAAGCTGACGTGCGGGTTTAGGTCTCGCTAGGTTTATGTGTGTCTTTGGTGTTTAAGACCTTTGATTAAGCTGTTTCTTAGGTTAAGGAAGGATGCTTTTTGATGTTGAACGTAGAGGTAGTTTCCTGTTAAAGTATGTGAGACTAAAGACTGTTTATGTATATAATTAACGTTATTTAGCTACATACATTTCCTTGATTATCTGATATATTTCCCTAATTTGATACAAAGAATTAATGCAGAGGATTAGGCACTTTCAGCCCATCATCTAGGAAGGAAGCAACATCATCCATCAATCACAAGACTAACCCCTTCATCAAGAACTCTGGGTTGGTAAAAGTAAAAGAATCAAACGGTAGTGATTTCATGAACCTCATAAATTAATATTTTACAACCTTATCTTGCAAGGACTACACATACGGGCTACAGCTAATGAGTCCAAAAGCTTCATCAGATCTTATCTGACACGGTACTGGTCTCCAACCCTGTGGTTCAATATCCCATTACATATCTTGATCGCCAAGGAAACACAGACACCTTCAACACAACCTAATCTATAAAAATTGATGCTAATATGCCATAATTAGCAAGATATATATATAAGAATGTTACTGAAAGTTTTTCAGCCATTAATTTGCTATGTACTGTGAATATTTTAGTATTTCTAATCTGTCTATCCATCACATGATATACAAGCTCCCCAAATTCTTTTCCTTTCATGATGATCATCCACAATTTTCCCTTATGAAAATACTTTCTGCATTTTTCTTTCACGAGGATGAAGGACCACACAGCTGGTCAATCAAAAAGGTACACCAAACACTATTTAGCACGCTCTCCATCCCTATTGGTTTTTCCATTATATATAGATAATCTTTACCAAAGCCAAAGTTTACAATCTCCTGCAAGAGAAAAGCCCTAGCTACAGTAGCATAAAAAAGGAAAAAAACCTCTAACTCTCTCAGACTTTCAAGCACAAACCCACCAATCCCTGGTCATGGCCAGCAGTGTTCCTACTCCCTTTCCTTTGCCACACCGTAAAACCCTTCATTTCCTTGACTTTTATGTTATTTATATTGCTCTTTCTCTGCCTTTTCTAACGTGGGTTCTTTATCTTCTTTTCTCATTTTGCTGCTTTTGTGTGTAAATCTGCAGTTGTTACAAGTGCTCACCCTTATGTTGTGGAAGGCAGCAACTATCCTATGAATACTTTGAAGGAAGGTGAAGCTTCTTATGTAAGGGTGGATTTGCCTGGGGTCACCATGGATGCTGTGAAGGTGTGGATAGACAAGGATTTTCTCTACTTTGAAGGAGAGGATCCCAAGAATGATCAGGAGCATGACAAAGAACCTCCAAGAAGGTTCAAGGGTCAGATTGCTCTGTCAACACAATGCTTTCATGAGGCTGATGAGATGAAGTTTATGCTAAAAAATGGTGTCTTGATGGTTATGATTCCATTCAAGGAATGATTAAGGACTAAGGAGAGTAGTGCGTGTAGTTAATTTTGAATTTCTCTTAACTTTGTTGCTTTGTCAACACAATGCTTTGCTGTTTGAAGAGTCTGTGGAATCTAACTGGGGGCATCTTTGCTTTCCCATCGTTCTACTGTTTCATGGAGTTTCTCCTTAAAATAAAAATTTGTGGTTTGAAATATTGATGGATTCTTGCATTAATCTTGAAATGGGTTTTTGATTTTGTTTCATATTTATGGAAATATTTTGTTTCCTTGTAAAACAGGTATTTTTATTGACTGGGGAAGCAGAAGCAATAGCTAGCTGATGAACTTCAATCCAAGCTAGCTGTGGAAAGCAGATTTTAAATTCTTTTCCCTAGCTTTTGTTTGTTTTCTTTTATGAAATTGAAAAGCATTTTGTTAATTGTGAAAATGGCTTCAAGCTTCTCCAAGGGAACTATATATGAAATTGATGATTTTTTGCTAATTATGTGATGTGTTTTACTTGAAATGACGTTTTATTAATTTAATTAATAAGGATTAATTAATGAAAATTTTTAGCTCTCTTTCTATTTTTTTCTTGAAACTATAATCCAATATTCTTTAGACAACAATTAATAACTGGTGGAAAATCACTATTATTGATTGCTACCATTTTTTTTTAAAGTAAATTATAAATTATTAGTAAATTATAAATTATTCCTTCTAGTTTTGAAAAATCAATTAAATAGTTCTTCATATTTTAAAAATTAATTATTTAGTTCCTACAATTTTAAAATTTCTTGTATTTTAATTTTTTTTCTTTCTTTTCAATTTTATTTTGATTTTTTGTTTTAAAAAATAGAAAAAAGGACATAAATATGGAAAATGATTGGTGATAAAAGATAATATTTTATCAAATTAAATAGTATTAAATGTAATTATTTTGTAAAAAAAGCAAAAAATATTTATTTATTTTTTAAATAAAAGGACTAACTTATAATTCACTCACCACATGGCTACGATTTGCGTATACCTAATAAAAATCAGATTGAAATAGAGAGACTAATTAAACCTTATGATTTCACTAAATGAATAACGTGCGTGTTTAACGCGCTCCCAAAGAAAACTTATTAGGTTTTTTGTTTTTTTGGTACTTTCTGAACTCCATATAATTATCTGAAAGTGTCATTACCGTACCCCAACTTGATCAGTTTTAATTAACCCCAATTTCCAAGAATACCTTAGAATAGATAGTCATCCATCGGACGGTTGAAAATGAGGGCATCAGAAAACTATATTCGTACGATCATCTTTCTTCCTACCTGCAGAACAGAAAGGCGAGGTAACCATCACATGACACGTGTACTCCTTATGATTATCACTAATTCTCAGTTTCTCACTGTGCCAAAAAGTAACATATAAGTAATCAATCCTCGCTGTGAAAAGGTTTAAAATCAGACGGTCATGATGTGATGGACTTGATAAATAAAATATCTTGTGGTTTTACAAAGTTCCAGCACTACAAAACCCTAGAATTCTAGATAGCTAGTCACGTCCAAAAGGTAACAAAACCCTATTCTTTTTCCCCTTTAATTTGTCTGGTACCTGCAAGGAAACTGTGAAGGTGTGGGCTGACAATAAATTTAGGCTAAGTGGTTTTAAAATGACCTTAACTATGATCAATAATAGTAAAAAGTTTTTTGATTTTTGATTTATTTAGGTATTCAATCTTTTTTTTTTTTAATCTACGATTAAATGCTTCTATTCTTTTATCAATCTCAAACAACATAACGTTGTATACATAAACATCCTAAACACTCGTTTAGTATACATAAAAATCCTAAATACACAACACGTGTTGTTGTTTTATGAATCTATGTGTTTTTTATATGAGTCTAATACAATTTGAAATTTGTCAATGAGACGAAAAAAAGTCAATTAAACTCAATTATAAAACAAAAAAAAAAATGAGGATTCAAATAAAAAAAATTGAAGAATTTTCTCATGTTAATCAGTAATTTTGAATTCTTTATAATTAATTAGCCAATAAATTTATGTATTTTGAATTTTGAAGGAGAGGAGGCCAAAGAATGAGGAAGAGTTTGATGTGGGGAGTACGGTCAAGGGCCAAATTCCTCAGTTTGATTATCATTATTATTACAAGACTAAATTGACTAATGGGATTAAGAAGGTGGTGATAGATTTTGTCTTGAAAATTTTAAGGCTATAAGGTAATTAACTATTAACATTTACCCTCGCAAAATATTTGATTAAAGTGTCATTAGTCGCTAATTAACAAAAATTCTTGCAGAGTTCTAAACATATTATTTTCTATCAATATGTCACAATACTCTTTCTATATGACTAGAAAGTAGGATGTGACCTTACAATTGCTAGTATCTTAATTCAAATCAACAAATAGATTAAATCAAATCAAATAATTGGTTTAGAAATTAATGATGTAGAATTTTTTGATCAATGACTCATGATTTTTTTTTCTTTTTTTAATTTAGGTATCTCCATTTCATATTAGAGATATAACTAATCATATTCGAAATAAAAACAATAAAATTTAACTATTATTAATAAATGCAATTTCGAATTTGAATTCTATATATTAGTAGAAATTTTTACGACGTGTCGTACCATCAATAAATTAGTAATTTATACGTGTCCGTACCGAGCTTTTAATTACGGTTATATAATCGGGGCAAATAAAGGTTGAACCTACGGGGAAAGAGAATCAGTCAATTGCTTTGGGTATTCTTATTTGTAAAGGAGGGTTTTGTGTGTTTGAGATGCTAGAAAGTAAGATAAAGTATTAAGAGATAACAATATAAGAGCGACCTTGATTGAACTTCGAGTATCCACTTTTGATTTGATTGCTAGTCATTGATTAAATAGTTAATTCATTCTAATATGAATATTTATTGTAAGACAATAACATGTATGTTGAGTCCAATCTTTCATTACCTAGTCGTTAATTGCATATACGATATCCAATTAATTTTTTAGCTATTGAACAACCTACTAAGCGCTAGATAGATTTAATTCAATAACAACATTAAGATAAGAAAGATAGGTGAAGTTAAGCTACCTTCCTATGCACTAAAGAAGATGCAACCTAGTTCTATGTTTTCTAATGAATTGAACAAAAACATCACTAATTATCAACTCCTAATTACTACCACAAGCAAGTTTAGACAAACAATTACACGAACTTGAATACTTAGCTAGCAATAAGCAATATGAATAAACAACTAGCATGCATTCTAATTGAATTAATCATACAACTATGAATCAATTATGCGAGAAAAACATAAAATATCCAATAGAGGTAAGTTTAGAATAAAACCAAGTAATCTCATAGTGATTAACCAAAAGCTTCAACTTGATTCAACCAAGAAGGGAGTTTAGTTGTTCATGATACAAAGAGAGAATTCTATTAATGGTGGCTTAGAAAAGCTAGCTGAAGAGAGAATAAATAATACCGTAAATTTGCTATTTATACCCACAACTATGGTTATATTACTTTTTATGTCGGTATTACATTGTTACATGGCTTGAGATGTAAAGTTACATGGTTTACTACTTGATATCAAATGATTTGGAATCTTAGAAATTAGGTTACACATAGTCATGTGAATTTGTTCACAAACCATGCAGCTAAGCTTTTGCCCATATAGATCTTTTCTTCCTTAGCCACACGTGCGTGGGGTTTTATATCGCAAACCATGTAAAGAGCTTACTCGCTCGTGTGGCTCTTTTTCTTCCCTTGAATGTGTTGGGCTTAATCAACCACACGGTCATGTGGAATGCTTCTTCAAACCATGTGGAAATGGTTTTGCCCATGTAGCTTGCCATGCTTGAGATTCCACACGACTTCCTCCTTCAAGTCACATGACATGTGACTCTTTTAAACCTCTTTGGTGGCTTCTCTCTTCTTTGCTTTGGTTTCGGATTTTCTTGCTTCGATTCCTTGTTTTTCATACAAAATCCAAAATCGTTATCTCATTCTTAAATAACATAATACAATACAATAAACACTAAAAAGTTCAATGTAGTGGAGCATAAAAATTATGCTAATTATGCACTCATCAATTCTCTTAAAAATCGACTCACTTACTCGCTAGACAACAATTAGTAGGTTATGACTCATAACACTTTGATCAATCATTTAGAAGGAATGGATACATTTAGATAATTTTTTAAGATAATGATAAGAGGGGTTTTAGGTGTGAATAGAGGTGATATTCGTTGTACGAATTCAAGTAATTGTCTAATTTTTTGTTTTATGTTATTTTCAAGGCTATATGGATCAAAATTTCCTAAATTTTAATTCATTTGAAAATCAATCTATAAAATTATAATTTGGAGTTTACTATTTTTAATTTTTTTTAAAAAATTTAGTCCATCATATCACCTCCTTTTAAAAATTTCAATTATTTGTATTTTGAACTGAAATTTTATGTTATTTTCAAGGCTATATGGATCAAAATTTCCTAAATTTTAATTCATTTGAAAATCAATCCATAAAATTATAATTTGGAGTTTACTATTTTTAATTTTTTTTAAAAAATTTAGTCCATCATATCACCTCCTTTTAAAAATTTCAATTATTTGTATTTTGAACTCGAAATTTTGCACACGCGTTGAGAAAAATTCAATCTATTTTTGAAAAAAATTCTAAAATTTTCAAAGTTTAAAAGTATATTATATTATTTTCTGAATATTAAAACTATAAAAAAATATATGAAATAATTCAAAAAGATTTTAATTTTTTTTTAAGGCTACGTAAATATTATTGAATAATTTTTATCATATAGTTATTTATGTGATTATTATTTTTATAAAAATCTAAAAATTGAACTAAATCTTAAGAATAAAATTAAAAGGAGATCAAATCCAAAATTAAAGGTTTAAGAATTGATTTTTAAATAAATTAAAATTATGTAGCGGTTTGAGTCATTTAGCCCTTAGTCTGAGAAGTTTATCTTTAAATGTTTACGTTCATGGATTAGACAGGTGAAAAAATTGGGTTTTTATTTGCCATTCTTTCATGCGTATGGAAATATTTTGTTGTTATGCAACAAACTAAAGGAATATATGACTTACCAGGCTGAGCTAGCCCTATGGTGGTGCAGTCCTGTTCTCTGCAGCAAAAACAAAAACACACACACAGAACTTTTCTTTCATAAAAAAGAATCTTTTTCCCTCTAGCTCAAGATTTTCCTTCGTTTTCTTGGGTTTCATCTAGAAAAACAAGAATGGTGCGGAAAGTTGCTGGCCCATCAGAATACCTAGCTATAACTGGTTCCGGTATCACAGACATCAAGCTATCCAAGAAAGCATGGATTTGGCCTTTCCAAAAGTGCGTCAAATTTGATGTTTCTCCTGTTAACTACACGTTTCAAGTCCAAGCCATGAGTCCTGAAAAACTTCCCTTTTTCCTTCCTGCTGTTTTCACCATTGGCCCTCGAGTTGATGATACTGACAACCTTTTGCTGTATGCTAACTAAGTTGATATCTCCTCATGATAAGCTCTCTCACCATGTTACGGAGCTTGTTCAGGGTGTCATTGCGGGTGAGACTCGTGTTTTGGCTGCGTCTATGACTATGGAGGAAGTTTTTAAGGGGACTAAGGAGTTTAAGAAGGAGGTTTTTTGGGAAAGTTCAGCTTGAGTTGAATCAGATTGGGTTGTTGTTTTATAATGCTAACGTTAAGCAGCTTGTTGATGTTCCTGGCCATGATTACTTTTCTTATCTTGGTCAGAAAACCCAGATGGAGGCTGCTAATCAAGCCAAGGTAACAAACTCTACCTTTTTGGTTTTAAAATATTTGGTTTTGTAATCATTAATTTAACCTAACATTTATTGATGTTGCTAACCTGACCCATTATTAAAATAGTGGCAGAGTTGACAAAAATTAAAATTGATCAATTGTTCATAGGGATAAACATGGACGACTCTACAGTGCTTTTCCTTTTGGGTCTGAACAGAAGCCCATATAGTTCAATTTGCGCCAACTGATTGGCCCATTGGACTGCTTCTTGCTTTATGCTTAAACTTCAGTCCTTCTTTTCTTCTGCCTATTAGTTTTAATGAATATTGTTTTATGGTTTATGAGTTTTTCTCTTGTCTATACCAATTTAAATCAAGAAATTATTAGGGTTTGTTACTTGATAACATTAGCAACAGATACAATATCCATTCCTTGGCCGCGAACATCAACATGCTCCTCAATATAGCATTATAAATCAACAAACCCAAATTTATCCAACTCCAACTGAACCTTCTTAGAGCCCTTAAAAGACCTCCTCCTTAGTCATAGGCGCAACCAAGACAAGCTCCGTGACATGTTGAGAGTGCTTTTCATAAAGAGATATCAATTTAGCCTAAAGAGAAAGGCTATGGAGATCGTCAACTCGAGGCCCAATGGTGAAAAAAGCAGGAAGACAAAGGGAAGATTCTCAGCGCTCGTTGCATCAACTTTGAATGTGTAGTTCACTGGAGATACATCAAAACAGATGAATTTTTGCCTTTGCCAAATCCATCATTTCTTGGCTAGCTTGATGTCTTTGATTCCTGCTGCACCAGTGATGGTTAGGTACTCGTTGTTGATCAATCAAAGAAAGAAGAAAAAATGATAGAGATAATAATTTATTAAATAACAAACGGATAGAAAATAGGGTTATTGCTGTTAATTTTTGTTCTTTTTATTTAGCTTTTTTATTGATAGGGTTTTTCTAGCTAGTTTAGACGGAAGATTACTGTTTTGCTTATTTCATATTTCCTAGCTAGAAGTAAGTTAGTTTGTTAAAAGGAGTATTTAATTCTAGAGATATTAATTTATAATTTAGGCTTGAATTTATAATTAGTAATAATCATTATGTGTATGTGAGTTTTAAAATGTCAATATATTTATTATTTAATATATTTATTAATATCATAATCAATATATTGACTTTGACTTGTTAACTATTACCTGAATAAGGATATATATTGACGTAAAAATAAGCATTTTACATTGATAATTCGATATCGTAACGTGACCATGTCCTTATTAGATTGTAGTTATTTATATATTAAAAAAGATTGTATTTACAATTAATTAAAATACATTAATAATAAATTGAAATATATTAAACTCACTGTGATTATATTAATTTAAGTTGGGTAAGATTAAATTTACCAATAAAATTGTTATTTTTATTATTTTTTTATGTAATTATCAATATATCTTTATTAATTGTCAGTGATTATTATATAATAAATATTGAGGATATATGGATAATTTTATTAAAAAATTTAACAAAAGTAATAAGTTGAGGGGTGAATTGTAAGTTAGCAAAACCAAACAGCACAGCATACGTGACACGTTGCTCTATCACCAAAAAGACCAAGCTACCCTCAATTTCCCAATCCAAAAATCCCCAATTGTATTTTCCAATCAAATGAACCCTAGAATTCTAGGGTTTTCAATTTCCTCTCATGCAATCAAAACCAGATCAAATTGATCTTCAAATATGGCGAAACATAACAGAAGCAATGAAGAGCCCAACACAGCTCCAGAGCCAGATCGCTGGTACAACATAAAGTTAGGCTCTTCCTTTCAAGACCACCATAACCTTTCCTCTTCAAAGTTCTGTACTTTACGTTGTAAGTATACTTTTTTGCAGCATGTCCCACTTTCTATTTTCTGGGTTTTGTTTGGTTGTTGAGAAAATTCAGTGAAGTAATGGTTCTTTTTTTTTTTTTAATGATGTTTTTGTTATTATGGTGTCCCACTTTCTATTTTCTGGGTTTTGTTTAGTTGAATGTCCAATTTTCAGTATTTTGTTTTTCTTTTAGAATTTTACATGATTAGTGGGGTGTTAGTTGGTGGGCTAATGGAGGGTTCGGTAATTAAGTTGGTTTCTTTTCAGCTTTGCTTGCTTGAGTGTCAAGAGTAAAGAGGTAACAGAGGAAAAATGTAAAACTTTTAGCTTTTCCTACCTTTGGTTAAGATAATTTGAAAAACTCTATAAAAGTATTATCTTGTTATAGATATGGGATTGCTTAAGGCTTTCATTTCTTACGTTTAGAAAGAGTATTTGTTTCCATGGAGCAGAATAATTTCGTTGTTTTTTATTTCTTAGATGAATTTAAACCAGCTTCCGTTGATAAGAGTCAACCAGGATCACTCCATAAGAGCAAGGATAACAGGGTGACTGTTGAATATCACAACAACCAACAGGGAAAACCCAAAGTAACCTTTGAGGGCGTGAGTGAGGATTACAGGGAAAATGATGCTGTTTTGTTCTTTGATGGCGAGACCTTCCACTTGGAGCAGTTGCATCGTGCAGTGAAGCGGTTGAGACATGTTCGGCTCCCTGGTGAATCTGCTGCTGCAACTGCCACTGCAACAGCTGCATTGGTTGCAGCAGCAGTTGAAACTCTTTCTCCACCTATTGGTAAAGCAGCAAATCTAGAGTCTCTGGACAAAGGAATGGCTCATCAAACACCAGTAAGCGTGCATTGATTTCACAATTCTTTTGTTTTTTTCTTGATATTGTTGTCAGAATACAAATGTGTCAACGGGAAGGGGGAAAAAAAAGAGAGAAATCTTGAATTGACCTTTTTTCTTTCCATTATGTACTCTAGATTTTCTTTTGAAATCTATTCCTTTTCTAGCCAAATCTAGATAGATCTGAAAAGCTCTCTTCCCTCTGTTTCCTCCCAGATAACATTTTATGTAGTTGGCACTATCACTAGAGATGAAAGTATTTAGAATTTCTGAGCTATTGTCAAATCCTGAATAAATGAAGGTCGTGCTATAATCTGCTGTAAAACTTGTACTTTTACTCTTAAAAATGGTGTGCTGAAATCTGTGTTTCATTGTTGGCATCTGCTTTAGATATTTTTTGATTAGTTTCAGAATCAATCCAAATTCAGCAACAGAGTTGGAGTCATCCTTGAACAAAAGGATAGTGATTTTACTTTCTCAACTTTTGTCCACATACTGCATTTTTGCATCAACTCTGCTTGTTTCTGATTGAACTTTCTTGTGTATTTGAATACCTAGAATGTTTTATAATTTGGCTGATCGAACATGGGAAATAAATATGTTATTTATGTGTGGCTTTGGAATTGATGTTTTTGTGAAAGAAGCTTTCTTTAGACAAATTATTTAGATTTCTCAATATTTCTTGTTTTAATATAATTGTGTAGGTTCAGGTGGAACAAATTGGCACTGATGACTCAGAAAACTTAGGTATACTTCTTTTCTTTGGTAACTATTGATGGATAGACTGATTGATATTAGTTGAACTTTAGACCTATGAGCTTGAGGCAATGATGGATGTTGTTTGTACCAAAGGTCTATACTAGTAGTTTATACCCATTTCATACAATCTTGTCCCACGTGCTTACCACTTCTATATCCCATCTTTACTTGGTTTAATGAATTGGCTCAGCTTTCTCTTTGCCTGGTGCAGAACTTGAAGATGATAAGAGCATGGAGCATCTATTATTTCCTCCTAACCCATCCACCTCGTCACCAGACCCTAAGAATGAATCCGAGGAACAGGTCGACATAGTCAATGATGATGATGGCTGTGAAACTGTTGACAAGGGCAATGCTTCTGAGAAGGGATTGTCACGTACTGGTCTTAACATTGATATTAACTTGCCGCATCAAGCTGCAACAGATGATGAGATTGCTGATGTAGATATTAGTGATGATGACATTGACAAAGGCCCTAATGCTGCAGAAGCCCTTAAAGCCCTGAATGCAGTTGACAAAGTCCCCAATGCTGCAGAAGCCCTTAAAGCCCTGAATGCAGAAGGAATGAAAGGACAAAATTCAAGCTCAAGCAGTAGCAGTGGGAGTCAGAGTAGTGGAAGTGAGAGTGGGAGCAGGAGTGGAAGTAGTAGCAGTGATAGTGAAAGCAGTGGTGATGACTCGGTCTTCTCTATCTGATGATTGAAGTCATGCTTATTACTTGGAGACTGAGATCACGTAATGTGGTCGTCCATGAGGAATTGCTGATTCAGTTCAGCATTCAGATCGCGTAGAAGGTGAAACTTGATTAAATTCATCTTCCACAGCTGATGTAGATGGAATCTCGAGCCAAAATGCTGACATTGTATAGACTTAGCTTAGGTTTATTTTTTCTCTCTCCTGTAGTTTAGTTAGATAGCATCTCTCATGTTGTTTAGTTAGATCAGCATGGTTCCTAGGAATTTGAAGAAGTATGTTTGTGCATTTGTTAATGGCAATTTGTAGTGTATTTGTTCATGCCAATCTGCTCGCGATCCACGTAGACAATGCTATCAATCGATGTGAGTCTCACCATCAGATCATCGCTTATAACAGTAGAATAGCCCATCTAAGTGACAGCAGTCAGCAGGCTGGTGCATGACTCGAGAAAAATGGGCCCCTACAACCATGACGGTAAACCGTCCACGGTTTTCAGTGGCCGACGAGAGAGTTAGCCTCATGGACCAGAGAAGAAGTCTGAATCTTCATTCGAAAAAGTAGCCTCGAGGATTTCGAGTTCTGTTGGTTTCCATGAATCCACAAGTGAATGTACTGATACAATGGGAAACAAGTTGATTCGTTGAAAAATCATTGAATTATAACCATTAAGATAAATTATAGTTTACAGTAAAATAACGGTTGGAGTAATGGATATTGTAAATACAATTATTTTGCTTAATTAACAAAACTATTAAAAATATAAAAATGAAAATAAATTTATTAACAATTATTGAATTTATTACCAAAATAATAATAATAATAATAATAATAAAAATTTATAGTTTAGCATCACACAAACAATTATAAAATATATTATAACTTTAAGATATATATTATAAAATATTATCTTCCAAATAATAATAGCAATCATGTTGTTTTTGTTTTTTTTTTATTTAGAATATTGTAATTATTTGATTGCATAACGACTTGTATAATAAATCTAACGACTGAAAAAATAGTGGCAATTCACATGGAAAGATATATATTTTTTTAATATAATCGTTGTTATTCACTAAATAACAATATATCCAAAATAATTAATTAAATATTTGAGTATATTTAATATATTTACGTATATTTGTTTTAACGTGAGGTGTTGGGTCGTAAACTTGATCCTCAAGAGGTCTTCTTGAGGATTCATTGGAGAAAGGTTGATGATCAATATGTCTTTGTCAATTAACGGTCAAGAGTTATCGATGTAAATTATTAGTTTATAACATTATTTCATACATATTAATTTATAATGTTATTTCATATAGCCGTTTAATATCATGTCTTTCACAATTATACAAGAGACGGTAAAAAAATTAATAAATGAGGAGGAGGTTGCTAGCCGACAAACCGGGGGACTTCAACAATCGACGTCAACATTAATGAGATTTTTCGAAAGGCCATTAGTGGAGGAGATAATAAGAGGAAGAGGATGTATGGACTTGGGTCACACGCATCTTACTATACTCTAACGCCAATACAATCTCTAGTTCGGCAACTTCATGATTCCATGTTAGTGATGAGGCACAACGAAAGGAAGTCGAGGATCAAACAGACTATAAATACGATAGAGATTCGGGAGCTACGGGGTATTGTCACAATGTTGTTGGCTATAACAAATGAGTTGAAGGAGTATACTCGATCGCAACATGCGATGATGACATAGATGCGGTAGATATTCCTGCGAGCATTTTCATCAAGGTGGCGGTTCATCCGTCGTTTCGAGACCGATGACGACTCCACCCAACCTCCAAACGATTCCACCCAACCTCCGAGTGACAATCCTACCAATCTCTCCTAGCTTTTATGTTTTCTTGTAATAATAACTAACTTTCTACTCGTTTTCAATAATTTAATAATTGAATAATATTTATTACATTTTAATAAATTTTATAATAAAATTATGAAATTTTACAATATTATGTTTTGGGTATTTATTAGACTTTTAAATAGCAATTGATTAATTTTAGAGATTTAAATTGAAAGTAAAAAAAATGTTGAAAATAATCGCTTAGTGACGGTTTTAATCGTCGCTAATTGTGCGCTTATTGCAACGAAAACAAATTTAGCGATGGTCCCAGCGACGGCTTTGTTTTACCATCATAATATTTTCTCGCTTTACTATCACTTTCTCGCGATGGTTTTTTTTTGTTGCTAAATTAGTGACGGTCCAAAAACCGTCTCAAAATTTTAGCGACCGAGATTTTACGAATGGATTTTGTACCCTCACAAAACTGTCGATAATTAAATTTAGTGACGATTTTTTTTGGATTAGACCATCGCTAATCCCTTAATTTTTTGTACTGAAATTCATAATGTAAAGTCACCATTTAACAAACTAACCCAAACCTTAGAATTTCCAAATTTGCATAAACATATCATTAAACATATTCAATTAACAATTAAATACATGCCAAAGCATCATGACAACAAATCTTTCATCAATTTTACAATCCGACCATCAATTGCATATAATTCAATCAAATGCTCAATTAAAAACCCTAGGTTTCATGAGTACAAAAATCTCTAAATCAACATACAATTACTTTAAATCTTGTGTTGAGTTGAAGCTACACTTACCTTAGGTTTGATTGACGATGAAATCACCTTAAAACCCTTCAAAAATCACACATCTCTTCCTAGACAAAAAAACCGACCTAAGTAGCCCTATCTCCCTCTTGAAAATTGCCCCTCTTTTTGGCCAAGCTTGCTTCACTCGAACAATTTTAGTTTCTTCCCTCTCGTAAATTTCAATTCTCTCCGGCTTTCTCTAATGATTTTGTTTCCCTTGCTCTCTTTCTCTCTTAGTATTCAAGCTCTCTATTAAAGATGGGTGGTGGAAGAATGAAAGCTCAAGTGAAAAATTTCCCCTCTTATTTCCTTTTCTTTGCTGATTTTTTTTGGTCCAAAATATCTTTAATGAACTACATGTCCTAAGGTGGTTATTTTACACTTAGAAATTTTAATTTAGGTGAAACACCTAATTAAGATATTATTTTCTTGATTAATACATGTTTAGATTACTCATTACTTTTGAATTCTAAGTTATACATGTATGAAAATCATTTAATTAAACTATATTTACTAGTCTTTCACTTATCAATTGTCACACATAACATAAGCATGGCATGAACATAATTAACAAAACAAATATTCACACAAAACATAGAAATTAAATCCAAGTATTACAGACAATCTCCAATGTCTTATCCTTGGGAAGAGTCTACCACCTAAGAAGATTTAGAGAGTAATTACAGGATACGTTCACCAAAAGTCCACATGATGTAATTATTGATCCGAGCCCACCTTAGTCGGTCACTCTAATGTTGTTTTTTCACAAAGTCCTAGCCAATCTAAGCAAAGGAGGTAAACAAAAAAGTTGCATACTAGGTGGCGACTCAAAATTCAATAATAACTCGCATCTTCATAATAATAAAAAAATGTGTTAAATCTTAAATCTTTTTTAGGAGTTCCGTTCGATGTCGGGTAGCGATAAGTTTAAGGCTTCCTAAGATTTGATGTTTAATTATAATAAATTTTTTTTACAACCTCTGGCATAATTGAAACTATTTCATTTCAACTCACAATTGAAACATAAAACTAAAATGAATATAATCATCCTTGGATCAAAACTAATGTGAGTATAAACCGAGCTTAATCTATTAATATCCTCCATTCATCTATAAACATCAATTTACTTCAAATCTTCGTTTGATCGAGCTTTAATTTGGTGGACACATTGAAGATTAAGAGATGCACATTTTGAATGGTGGAGATCTAGGTTTAGGTTATAGAGTGTGAGATATGATGCTCGCAACTATACTATTTTTTTGGTGGAATGCGAACTTGGTTTGTTCTCTTTTCTTTATGTATCATTTATAGATGTGGTTTGCCAAGGGTGTGTATCCTTTGATGCTTGTGGCTAATGTATTCCTCTAGTTTAATCTAGAGAGAACTCTTTGTATTGCCTATTGTTGTTGATAGTGCAAGTCTTTGTGGAGTTCAATCCTATGGATTTTTTCTTCTCAAATTGAGAAGGCTTTCTACATAAAAGTCATGTGTTCTTTATATGATTGGTATTCTATTTTTCAGATTATTTGTTATTTGTTTTTTTCTAGGATATGTGTTTGTACCTCTTATTTGATTGTTCAAATAACGATAAAGAAGTTCAATTTGTGTTAGTTGTATTTCTTTTTTGCAACAAATTCCTATCAAGTCATAAACTTCAAAATGCTTGTTTATTGGAAAGTGGTAGAAAGTATGGTAATGTGGGATTCTTCATGATGAATGATTTGATTAGCATGGTAACTTTTTCTATCTAGCCATGTGTGTTAGCTTACCTTAATGTAATGTATTGTCAAGCGACCCTCTTCACAATATCTAGATGTGGAGATTTGACGTATTAGTTTTTTTTTATTAGCATTTTAGGCACTCCAATAAGTATAAATTGGAGTGTCTTGCTTTCATTTTAGCAAGTCAGCATAAGTAAAAGTGTATATTAAAGAGAGCTATCTAGAGAGAGCTCAATCAAAGAGTGGTGTGAGAATAATCTTTGAATGCTTGTATTTTCTTAATGTGTTACAAATAAATTGTAATGAGTGTTGTAAGAGCTATTATAATTATACTACTAGTTTTTTTTTTGTTTTTTTTTTTAAATCAATCAATATATAAAAGAGAAAAGAGTCGACAAGAAAGTGGTTATAGTAACAGTTTATAATACAAATAAGAAGACAAACTAAACAACAACATTTCTGAAAATAGCAAAACTTGACTACAACAATAAAAAGATGAACTATCTATTTAGAGAGCCCGATTGATGGGTTTTTAAAGTATTTATCCATCTTTTAGTTTTATTTGAGCTAATTAAAAGATCATTTTCAGAATAGATAAAATGATCATCAATATATTCGACCCAATGCACCACTCTATGAAAAACCAAAGAAAGAGTGTTGCCCCAATAAGAAGTGGTACCATTAAAGAAAAGATTATTTCCTACTAGCCAGATCGACCATAGGCTTGAATAGAGAACAAGAAATCACACTTTCTTCTATATATGCCCATGAACATAAAAACTCCACTGTTGAAAAAGATCATCCATAGATTTACGGACAATCCATGAGCGAGTCCACCAACAAAAGATTTTAGACCACAATTGCCAAATCTTAAGGCAATATAGAAGGAGATAAGACATAGATTCTTGATACTTCTTACGGAAAGGACATAAGTCGGCTGAATACTCTACTAGACGAATATGGAAAAGAAAATCCTTTGTTTGTAATTTATAGTGAGTCGCTAACCGGACAAAAGCTTCTACTTTTGAGGGAGCTAAGCCTTTCCAAACATAAGAAATTATATGTGAGTCTCCATGTAGAAAAATAGAATCTAGAGTTGAAGAACAAGACTTGACAATATATAAGCCTTTTATGTCATAAGCCCGGATCCCGTTATCATCAACACCTAGATTCGGGTAAACATTTGAAATTAAATGTTGTAGCCTTTCTACTTTTTGAACCTCCCAATCACAAAGCTCCCTTCTCCAATTGAATTTCCAAAACCAACCTAAACTACACCAATCTCCCATATCCGAAACTTTGTAATCTTTTTTAGTACCTAAACTTGTATAAACTCGAAAAAGTTGAGCTGAGATTTATGCTATCTACCCACACATCTTTCCAAAATATGATGGATCTACCATTGCCGGTGTTGAAACGAATGCCTTCTTTGATAGCATGACTGCAAGGAGTTGAACTTGAGTAAATTGAGTAGATATCTTTCCAATAAGAAGATAAGATACCTGTAAAATAGGGGAGACCATTCCTATACGTTGGATTGTATTTTTGAAGGATAAATTTTTGCTAGCATGAAGAGTTACTCGCACTAAGATGCCATATCTACTTGAAAAGCAAGGCCTTATTCTTCCATGTTATGGAACCAATACCTATCCCACCCTTTCTTTTTAGTCTAGCCACCATATGCTAAGCCACCTTGTAAATCTTTCGATTGTGTGAACCTCTACTCCATAAGAAATGCTGCTGCATAGAAATAAGGTTTTTTGTCACACTTTTAGGCATTCTAAATAGAGAAAGGTAATATATAGAAATATTTGAGAGGACTAATTTAATGAAACAAATTCTTCCACCTAAGGATAAAAGCTTTCCTTTCCGTGATAAGGGGCGATTTCTCACCTTATCTAACATAGGCTTCCAAGTAGAGATATGCCTTGGACTAGCTCTTAGTGGTAAACTAAGGTAATTGGAGGGGAGAGAGCATGATTTGCACTTTAATTGGGTAGCCATATTAGCACACATAGTTTTATTAACATTTATGCCTATAAGAGAACTCTTGTAGTAGTTGGCTTTTAACCCCGAACATAGTTCAAACCACCTTAAAATCCTCTTAACATTCAACAAAGTACCATAATTGTTAGAAAAAAGATAATTATGTCATCGGCATATTGTAAGTGGCTAATAGACAAATTACCTCCTAAGTCAATGCCATTAAAAATACCCCAATTCTTAGCTCTGCAATACAAGACTGAAAGACCTTCGTAGTAATGCTAAAAAGAAAAGGTGAATGGGCGTCACCTTGATGAATCCTTTTTGCCATGTCAAGTTCAGCGAGTAGAAGACCCATTAATTAGAACTGCCATTCTAGCTATAGAAATACAGTTCTTGATCTAGCTCAGCCATTTTTTACCAAAACCCATGTACTCCAAAATCTGAATAATATAGTCCCATAAAACATAATCAAAAGCTTTTTGGAAATCAATCTTGAAAATAAATCCATCAAGATTCCTCTTCTTCATCCTGTGGACCACCTCATTGGCAATAAAAGTGCCATCTAGGATTTGTCTGCTAGACATAAAAGTAAACTAGTAATCACTCACCACTTCATTCATAACTTTTTGAAGTCTTAGGGACAACACATTTGCAATAATCTTATAAAGAGCATTGACTAAGCTGATGGGTATAAAATTAGGAAAGGAACCAATCCCTTTAATTTTCAGAATTAAATTGACAAAAAAGTTATTAATATCTTTTGGCATATGTCCAGTTCTAAAAAATTCAGAGACCATGGAAAAATTATCAACGTCAATCCAACCCCAAGCTTTTTTGTAGAAGCTGAAGTTATACCCATCAAGACCTGGAGCTTTAGAGCCATCACAACTCCAAACTACTTCTCTAACCTCTTTTAAAGAGATCATTTTCTCTAGATTAGCTAATGATCCTGGACTTAACTTCTTAAAACCATTAGCCCCAAGAACTAGTCGATCCCAAGAGACATTGGCAAATAAATTAGAGAAAAACCTCATTGCCTCACTTTTGATATCATCAGGCTCTGAGTAAGAAATCCCATCAATAGTTATTTGAGATAATTTTTTTTTCTTCGTGTGATTGAAGCAGTCATATGAAAGAATTTTGTATTTCTGTCACCCAATTTGCACCAATTAACTCTAGATTTCTACCTTCATAAGGACTCAAGATTTTTGCTAATACTCAAAAGTTGAGATTCAGAGTTTCTAAGATCATCTATTTTTGAGCTTGAAAGTACCTGAACCTCCTTTAATAATTCTAAAGAATTGATTTTTATTTCCAAGTCCTTTAGTTGCTGGTCTAAATTCTAAAAGATTGAAGAATTCCCCTCTTTCAATTTCGATTGAAGCAGACTAAATTTCTTTATAACTCTTAAGTAGTTCAATTTAGACTGACATGCTTCCTCCCACATACTCTTTAAAGACTCATGGAAAAGAGGATGATATCACCAGCAATCAAGAAAGAGAAAAGGCTTCCAACCTTAATTAATAGATTCAAAGTCAAGTAAAATTAGGCAATGGTCAGACAGCCCTCTAGGAAGACCAACGAGTTTTAAATCTGTAAAATTGAGAGACCACTAAGAGCTAGCAAAAGCACGGTCAATATGACTCATTGAGTCACCTCTAAACCAAGTGTATCTTTGGCTAATTAGAGGAAGCTCAATAACATTACATAAGTTTAATAAGAGATCAAAGGATCTGGCACCACTCTCATTCACTCAACCACTACTTTTATCACAAGCTTGCAAGATCTCATTGAAATCACCGATCAACAACCATGGTATATTAAAAGCAAATTTCAACAATGAAAGCTCCTCCTATAAAGTTTTCCTACTAGACAAATCATAATCTGCATAAACTAAAGCAACCACACATTCAAAATTTGAAGCCACAAAACACCCAAAAAGAGCAATCCAGCGAGCACGATATTCAACAGTTGACACCCTGAAGGAAGAATTATTCCAAATAACTAGCATACCACCTAAATTTTCTTTAGAATTGATACACTTTCATTTAATATCTTGACCACTCCACAAGCTGCTAAACAAGGAATTACGATTAGCAGAGCTTTTTGTCTCCAGAAGGCAGAGTACATCAACATGGTAAGAATTGATGATTTTTGTAACCATCATTCTTTTACACAAACTCCCAAGACCTCTACAATTCTAGAAAACCATGTTCATAGACAAAGGATTTAAAAACCTTATCTGGCAAACTTTGACCCAATCAATCAAAGAGACCCAAACCATTCCTTATCTTCCACCTCACTTTGTGTTCGAATGTGATCAACAACAATACCGTTTCTATTACTGTCATGGATTCCCAGTTCAAAAGTAGTATCCAATTTAGAGTTTAGATGATGGCCCATACATATAGCTAGTGTACCAATAAAATGAGCTATTCTTTTTATTTCCTTTTAAAATGGTAGAATCCATCGACCCATCACTTGTATATCCATTTGTCTTTGTAATGGTACCTTTAGTATTAAGTATTTTAACTTTGAGTTTTTTCCTCCTGTAACTTGTACTGGTTGCGCTAGGCAGAACTTTCTACTTCTTCGTTGTTATAAGTTCACTATAATCTTGGGTTGTTGAGGCCACCAAACCATCGATGCCATCATAGCCATTAGTTTGTTCACATATAGGCCCAAGTTAAGAGTCCAATACACTGGAAGGCCAAGTTGTTCTACACTAATGTCATTCCTGGATGATTGGAGACTGGCTGCTTCAAGTGAATTCAAATTTTAAAATTTTGACAAGAATCCTGTTAGCTCTAGAAACAAATCTACATATTTATTTCCTTTAATTGTTATATAAGCTAGTTGTCCTATATTTTCTGACATCCTTACAACACATGTACACATGACGAGTGCCACATGATTCATGTCATCCTTCTTTAGATCCACTTCAGCTGCCACATCCTCCTTCTCTACCTTTTGCCCAAGTCGAGTAGCTATGGAGTAGCAAGTTCTGCTGAAATCCATATAATCAGGACTCTGGCATTCTTTCACTTTAACAATATATGTATTTCTTTCCACCATGAGACAAACCTCCTTTTCTAATCTGTCTTTCTCAGATTGCCAATCAAAACTTTCAATGGGTTGATAATGCAAGGAGATTGTTCAAACCTAATTAGTCTACCAAATTGGCTGTTAACTAGCTTTAAACATTCATTAGTCCAAGCAATTAAAGGCAACCCGTTCATCTCAATTCAGCATAATCGATCATAAGCACTATCAGCAACATTCCAAGGCCTTATCTCTTTAAAAAAATAAAGAGAATACAGATCCAAAAAGTATTTGTTGCATTATGCATATTTTCAGCTGAACTAAAGGTAACTAATGCTTGTGAAGCTCCAAGGAACATACTTAAAAGACCCACAATCAACACCAGCTGATGTAACACCCACTAAGCTATGCTTCAACCACCATATACTTTCTTCAAAGGTTTAATAATTCACAGTGATCCTTTCAGATTGTAGTGGAGTCTATCTCGTGTCTCAGCGTGCAGAGCCTCCGCATATGTTCTCTTATCGCATAATGTCATAGGTAACAAAGGTCTCCTATCAATATTCTGCACTTTTCCATGATTAGGCAAAGAATTGATTCCTGTGTTCTTTCTGTCAAACCTTGCTAGATTCACTCACAACTTATGAGGATCAAACCAGATTGCATTGAGTTATTAGATCACAATCTCCAAAGTATAATTAGTTTCCAAACCAATGAAGCCAAATGTTCTTCTAAGATGAGTCTTCTTTTTGGAGAACTTTCCCAAATCTAGAAAAAGTTTTCGTTAGGGATTTGACATCAATCCAATCTGGGAACCTTTCAAAATAGAGCCTAAAAGTTAATGATAAGTGTGGGGATGAGGAAGAGGGATTGGGAATGGTGTTTGGCGTAAGATTTAGTTGTTTGTGGTTAGGATAGGGGTTTTTTTGTGGGCGACGAGTGTGAGCAGACATAGGCGGAGAGAGAGATTTAATTGTACTACTAGTTATTCATCATTAATGGTATAATAAAATTGTATTTCTAATTGAACCTACTGAATTGTGCCACTTCAAAGTCTAATATGAAACTGCGAATGATGAGCAAAATATTTATATGATATCATAAATTTTTCAAAGGGACAATACAGAGTTGGAGTTTAGACCAAAATGTTGTAAGGTAAGAAGCAGCAATATTAACAAAATTTTGAATTTTTATTTTATGATTAGTAATGATTTTAAGGGAGGGTAGATAAGCTCAAGTTTTATACTTCAGTAGAATAATAAATCGATAAATTTTATTTTTTCATAAATGACTTAATCAGCGATGGTGATGACAAATGTTATTACCATAAGTGAGGGTAGATAAATTACTTGGAGGGGCCAAGCTAAAGAATGAGTGGAAACTGAAATAAAAAATACACAATTTTGAACGGTGATACAATCAAATCGATTTTTGAAATTTTTACATCATATAATATTTAAAAATATGTGACAGTTTTAACTAAAATAGTAAATATGAGCTAGGAGTTGATTCTTGTAGAAATACAAACAGTTAGTTTAGTAAATTTAAATGACTTTCAATAGATAACAATTAATATGTTTCTTTCTCATAGATAATATATTTCAATTTCCTTGCTCGTAATGAAACATATGTGCTGATGATGGTATTCAGTTATTATAAAGCTATCTCTCATGATGATCACTTTTTTTCCTGAAAGGTCAATGTATATCCATATCCAGACTTAAAAGCTAATACCAGAGTACAATAATGGATTCTTTAACCATGGAAATTGAAATAAATGACAAGTCATATTCCAACTTTTCAGCATAAAATCTGTTGGCAAAGTTCTAAGAAATAATGCCTAGAAGTTCTTGATCAAAACTTGACATTTCCAAGTTTCAACTTCTCAACACACACACTACTCTGTCTATATATGTACCACCAAGCTCTTGACATGAGTGCTTCAGGGGTGAACACAAAAACACTTGAAGAAGTCGTTACTTTTGATCAGTATGACGAGCCCTTGATTGAGTTCATGGCAAACCTACCTGAAAATGAAAAGGTTGTATTCGTGGGGCATAGTTTAGGTGGCTTCAATCTGTCTTTTGCTATGGAGAAGTTCCCAGAGAAAATTTCTCTTGCTATTTTTGTTACAGCATTCTTGCCTGATATGGTGCCCCCGCCATCGTATATGCTAGAGAAGGTACACTTGTTTGTTTAATATTAAGATTAAAGCCCTTTTTAAAAACTCTTTTATTGATTGCTTATAATTAAGATGATATATCCGGTTTAGTGCTACTATTTGATTAAATTCACTATTTTTAAACCAGAGGATATTTTATAATTAAAAGAATCATTTTAAGTTCCAAGTACTTAAGCCTACCAAAAACGTATACCACTTGAGAAGAGATATGCACATGCATACATGCGAATGTTTTTTTCTTTTTTTCGTTTTTTCGAGCATTACCAACCATCTCTAATATCAACCCGGTATATGTTTTGGCCTTTTTGTTAGTTGATGGAAATCAGTCCGGCCATTAAAGACGGGTGGCAAGGTGTAGTGTCCTCGACCGGCCGATACGAGGCATTCATGAAGGCCACGGCCTTTAGCCTTGCCTCCAATGAGGTACAGTACTCAAATCCCATTACAAATTAATTTTCAATCCTGAAATGATCCATTTTATAGTAATAACCAGTATAGTTGTGATGATTTTCTTGTTTGCAGGATCTCACTCTCCAAACGCTTTTAAGGAGACCGGGATCATTGTTTCTGGAAAGTCTCTCCAAGGCAAATAAGTTCACCAATGAGAGATTTGGATCGGTTCTGCGAGATTATGTTGTTTGTACTGAAGATTTATTGGTGATTCCACCATTTCAGCGCTTCATGATTGAACACAATGAGGTTAAGGAAGTGATGGAGATTCCAGGGGATCACATGGCAATTGTTTCTAGGCCTAAAGAACTGACCCAATGTATACTGGAGTTGGCACGTAAACATGCCTAGATAATTTTTAACCTGCGTGCGAATTATAAATGTAATAGCATGCAACATATATATCTAGTTATAGGCTGCATATATATAATTGGGTGGCTGTTATAGTAGAATAAAATAGAGATAGATGCTGGTGTGAGTTTTAGATTTGTTCTTACGAGTCAAGAATTGTCGGAGCATTGTATCTTCATTATTTTAATTTGTATTTAGTGCATTCTTTTCCAATTTTAAATTTTAAATAAGATCAATTTCTAGTCCAGTTTAATTTGTTATAATATTCTACCCCCAAACAATTGTCAAGCATTTCCAAGTTCCTAGGCTGACGCCACCACAAGACACAATGATGAAATCCTCCATTAAGCCTAGCTAGGCCGAATCATCCTCCATCAATCCTACCCTCCATAATATTCAACTAAAGACACTACATTTAAAAAAAAAAAAAAAAACCAAGCATTTGTCAATGACTATCACATGTCATGACATTCGCCAATGAAAATCACTTGTCATGGCCCGGTACTTTCATCAACAAAATTCTTGTGCCATGGCTTGGCACATTTTGTCAACGAAAATCTCGTTCCATCACTTGATGCTTTTGTCAACGAAATTCACATGTCATGGCTTGGCCTTTTCTTCAACATAAACCTCATGTCATGGTTTGGCACTTTCGTCAATGAAAATCTCATGCTATGGCCTAGCACTTTTCGTCAACGAAAATCTCGTGCCACGACTAGGCACTATCGTCAAGGAAAATATACAACAATCACTCAATCAATTTTCATTAAAACAATCCAGAATCCCAACAACAAGTCCAACAACCACAACCCAATCCAAGGCTATTAAGTTTCCTCAAACCATTCAATTAACTAATCATATAGCCTAAAACTATCAATTTCCAAGTTTTTACATAGACACCACATTATCCATGCTAAATCTACAATTAGACATATATCTATCAACATTACAATAGCCATTCATCAATTAATTACTTACGCAACAACTTTATAATGTAAAGTCATCATTTAACAACTAACCCAAACCTTAAAAGTTCTAAATTTACACAAACACATCATTAAACATATTCAATCAACAATTAAATACATGCCATAGCATCACAACAACAAATCTTTCATTGATTTCACAATCCAAGCATCAATTACATATAATGTAATCAAATTCCCAATTAAAAACCCTAGGTTTCACAAGTACAAAAATCTCTAAATCAACACATAATTACTCTAAATCTTGTGTTGAGTTGAAGCTACTCTAACCTTAGGTCCGATTGTGGATGAAATCACCTTAAACCCCCCCTCCCAAAGATCACACATCTCTTCCTAGCCAAAAACAAATCGACCAAAACAGGCCCATCTCCCTCTTGAATATTGTACCCCTCTTTTTGGCCTCGCCTGCTTCCCTTGAACAATTATAGTTTCTTCCCTTTGTAAATTTCAATTCTCTCTAGCGACTTTCTCGTGATTTTTTCTCCCTTGCTCTCTTTCTCTCTTAGTATTCAACTTGTTTATCAAAGATGGGTGGTGGAAGAATGAAAGCTCAAGTGAAATTTTTCCCCTTTTATTTCCCTATCTTTGCTGATTTGTTTTAGTCCAAATTATCCTTGATGAACTACATGTCCTAAGGTCGTTATTTTACACTTAGAAATTTTGATTTAGGTGAAACACTTGATTCGGATATTATTTTCTTTATTAATACATGTTTAGATTACTCATTCCCTTTGAATTCTAAGTTATACATGTATGAAAATCATTTAATTAAACTATATTTACTAGTCTTTCACTTGTCAATTGTCACACATAACATAAGCATGATATGAACATAATTAACAAAATAAATATTCACACGGAACATAGAAATTAAATCCGAGTATTATAGCAATCTCTAGTGTCTCACCCTTGGGCGAGTTTACCACCTAAGAAGATTTAAAGAGTACTTACGGGATACGTTCACCAAAAGTCCACTCGACGTAATTATTAATCCGACCTCACCTTAG